GTTTAGCTTTTAGTGGCCACCATCAAGCCAAAAGGACTTCAGGGGGGTCTGTCTAGTATATGGCACCATAAAACACTTTGATTAATGCCTGGGATTATGAAATCAGAAGAATGTTATTAACTTTGCATCTATTAAAATCAAGCTGGAGAGGGCTGGGAGCACTTTTGAGAAGAGAAAGGGAATTCAAACTAATTTTTAAGAATTGAAGTGATGACTTGAAATAAAACAGACACCATTTAGCACTGGCAAAGCGCTGCCCTGAGTTGTCCAGCTCTACCTGAGCAGAGGAAGGTCCAGGTTGGACTAACGTGCCTGGTTTGGGCATCATTCCAAAGAGGTGAGAGCCAGCTGGAGACTGAGTAACAAGAACGATCACAGGCCTGGAAAGCATGAATTAGATGTAAAGCTCAAAAGCAGCGCATTTATTCTTTTAAAGAAAAGAGTTCTTTGGGTTCATGTGATAATGGTCTTCAAATGCATACAACCCAACCTCAAGGGTCGTATGTATTTCTATTCAAGCCTACTACACATTACAGCAGGGAGATCTTAAGTAGTAGGAAAAACCTGCCTGGGCACGTCCTTCCATAAGGACTCCAACAACAAATTAGGGAAAACTGGTGAGAAATGGTTAGGTACATTTGACTCTGCCTGCATGACGATTTCTTTAGGTCCCTTCCAGCCTGAGGTTTAATGACCATATGGTTGAAATATGTGCTCTAAGTGCCACCGACTTCCGCAAAACTGCTGAATGATAAAACATATGATTAAATGTTTTGTCAAGTCAGGGCTAAAAACTGAGACTGTCCCTAATCTGCCTATTGCCTGCTGCCTTCAGGATGTCCCAAGCCATATGTTACCCATAGGAGTGCAGAAGGCACAGCTCCGTCCAAGCTTGTGTACGTGCAGAGACGGCGAGTGAGTCTATATGTTTTCACTGGCATATCTGTCCTGAGAAGTGAACAAAGATGTAGCTGAAACCAAGTCTCAATCAAACTTGTGACGGGGTGTGGAGAAAATACATTATTTTTGCAATTTTATAACAACAGGAGTGATTTAAAATCTTCTCCTTCCTCCATCTCTGAGTGATTGTTGGACGTGATAACTGCGTAAATCAATATAACAAAAAGGCACGTGTTCAGGTGCGGACCTGATTTTCAGTCTACCTGTGCTCAGCCATCACCTACATGAATTGATTTCACAGCAATAATCATAGAATCATAGAATCACAGAATGCTTTGGGTTGGAAGGGACCTTTAGAGCTCACCCAGCCCCCTGCAGCGAGCAGGGATGGCTTTAACCAGAGCAGGGTGCTCAGAGCCCCGTCCAACCTGGCCTGGGATGTTTCCAGGGGTGGGGCCTCCACTGCCTCTCTGGGCAACCTGTGCCAGTGCTTCACCGCCCTCAGTGTAAAAAATTTCTTCCTTATATCCAGTCTAAATCTCCCCTCCTTTAGTTTAAATCCATTACTCCTTGTCCTGTCACAACAGGCCTTGCTAAAAAGATTGTCCCCATCTTTCCCGTAGGCCCCCTTTAAGTACTGAAAGGCTGCAATAAGGTCTCCCCGCAGCCTCCTCTTCTGCTCTAACCTCTTCTGCTCTGACTCTAACCCCGTACGTTCAGATACTCCAATACATTTATTTCAGAGCTGTCTAAAATAATCTTGATTTAAATCCAAAATAACTGACCTGGGGCAGATGATTAGAAACACAGGACTTAAAAGGAAATTAAAGAACAAAGACAAGAGCAATAAAGTTCAGGAGAGATGATTTATGAAGGCTGAGGATACCTGACCTACATCCCTGTCCTCTGCAAAGCAGTGCTTGGTGGGATATGAACCTGAGATGACATATTCATTCCCTGTTCCAATGTATTATTGAGGCACCTGGATGCCAACACAGAAGATGCTTAACTGATACAGTGCTGAGAAGCTGAGTTGCAAAAAATAGCGGATGCATCTGTTAATCCGGGCTATTAAAAAACAAGAAGTCCACTCCTACTGTTTTCTTCCTGCCCTGCTAAGGGAGGTGTCCACCGGCTGGGCAGACATGTCCCGGAGCAGCTTGGTCCTACTTGGCAGCCCTCCGAAATGCGGGAGGGTTGTCCTAGGAATGTGACACCGGCCGGCCCTGGGCAGACTGTGGTCTTCCCAACCCGCCTGTTTGCTTTTCAAACATTGAGGATCATACAGGTCCTGCTGTAAGTGAACAAAAGCCTTTATTTGCTCTTGTTCCAGTGGCTGAGCTGGTTCCCTTCTAAAAGAGCACAGACACTACTCAGCTGGTTTCTCCCCTCGAGAGAAGCCTGGATAAAAGCTGATTGCATAGCCCAGTTGCGGATGAAGAAGGAGAACAGCATCCATAAGGACAAGGCATGTTGCAAGAGGCATCAGGTAGCCATCAAAAAACTGAGTAAATGATGTACAACACCAATGCTAATCTGTTGGGAACGTCTCTTGATGTACAGAAAATAAAAATACCTAGAAAAGCAAGATGAAGAAGATATTTCTACATGTAATCTCCATAGAATGGAAAATTACTTCAATTTGAGGCTGTCTCGCCTAAAAGCCACGTATTTGTGTATGAATGCATTGAAGGGATGACCTCTCCAAACAGGCAGCATTCACAGAGGTGTCTGGAAAAGCAGTGTATATTGATACAAACCACAGCTGGAAATTAAAATGCAGGCTAATAGGAATGTTATTCCTTCTTGGCCAGCAAGACCCAAATTAAGCCCGAGACATTCCAGTTTCCAACCAGACACCACCAGTTGCCCTCCTGAAGGGTATACAGAGATGCCCTGGGGGGGGCTTGCCCACAGTGGCCAAGGTTAAGTTATAAAAATCCTCTTCTTTGCTATGTACTTTATTTATTTGATCAGTTTTACTCTTGGAAAACACAAAAATGTGAATGTTTTCCAGGAACAAATTTCAATGTTGCTGTGCACCAGCAGGCTACTGTAACACACGCAGGCAATAAAAGAGTCAATTCCTCTGACGCATTTTGCATTAGTTCATTTTTTAGCCTTAGATTATAAAACCTATTTTTCATGGAGAATATAGAAGCAAGAGGTAGCTCAGTTTTAACAAAAAGAGTATCTTCTTGTTTTAGTAACTATATTTCCCTTGGTGGTAAAGAAAAATAACAAAATCTGGAGTGTTAAGTTAAACTTTTAAATATCTTTTGTCCTTCTGTGTGTAATTCAGTACTTAAGAACTACAGAAAATGACCTTAACTAGCATTTTCCTGCTTAGGAGAGGGGCACCCACCCTTGAAGAAAACCCCTGCGAGGTAATCGAAATGCTCCTAAGATTTCAATATTTTCATTTGACTGTGATCTGATACATTGAAGTGACAGAGTATGTCCACTCCTGCTCTTCCTCACACCTGGCCAAGCGTCACGCATCGATAAGATCTGGGTTTTGTTAACATCTTAAAGCTTCCAAATTAAAGCTGTGAGCAGCCAGAGCTAGAGGAGGGGCCCAGGGCCATCAACAGCACAGTCCAGTCTGTTTTGAACCACTGTGCGGTTTGAGGGTCCCATAAACAACCCTTTATGAAGACAAACTCAAGCACCTTCCCAGGAACATCTTGAGGTTTTCAAAGTTTGACAGCATGCACCAAAAAAGCCTTAAAAATGAAAACAAACCTCATGAGGTCTTCCACAAGATTCAAAACAAGCCCCAGACTGGTGGATCCCTCACTACAGGTCACCTCAGGCAGCAAAGCCAGCGGTGATGTTAATTTAGGAGACAAACCTCCAGATCTTCATGCTGTTGTCAACAGAGGGGGAAGGGCCTTCAAAAGGGAGGTTGAGCACAAATGGAATTAAACTCCTGCTCTAAAGCATCCTCCACAGCAGATGACTATAGAAGGAGCGGGGCAAGGACAGCCTTCCCAGGCTACGCATCAGCTCTTGTGACTGTCTTCCAAAACAACAGTTGCTAATATCAAATAAAGAAACAAATAAAAAACCAAACCCAAACTCCAGGAAGGGACCAGCATTCTCCTCCACACGATTTTACATACATCCAAACAGGAAAAATCAGAAATAAATCACATGGAAGAGTGAGTCGCACTTTTAACACAGAATTTACCCATTACGTCACAAATAATCACTGAAACACTTCATTTTGCTGGTTTTCCAGTTCCCAGCACTAGGGGTGTGTTTGGCTCCCACAGGGTTACAGAGTGGGGATTTTCCCAAAGTTTCATGATGGCAGCAGTAACTCTGTTCGCTTTTCTGCCCCTAACTTACAGGAGTTCCTAACATACTCTACCAGTGTCCGGTATCGGAAGCTCCTCTGTGGTCAGCACTGTGATGTAAACTAAGCTCCCTCTTTCTATTATAAGTTTTTGTATTTACATGATATTACACACGGGTCACACAACGGCTGCCATTTCAGTCTCCTCCCGCTCAGGCTTTGTTTTAAAAAAGACTACAGAGCTCTAAATCCAAGCAAAGCAAAAAGCAAGCTCAGATTTTCCCCTTTCTCTAAAATTCTGAAAAAAAAAAAGTGTTTTTCTGTGAAGTGTTGTCATAGTTCAGACACTGAATTTACAGCTTTTGTGATAACCAAGGAGATCTATCTCTAGACCTGAACTAGAAACTGCTTAGAAGGGACATCATACCGTTACTCCAGTTTTGACTAAGATTTTAGGTTGCTTTTTCAATCTTAGCACTCAACAGCCGCACAACTCTTCAGATTGCTTTTAAAAGGCAATCGATGCCATGAACATAGGACCACTTGGAGAGAGAAGACGTATGCTCCTCTCTCAACCTAGCAAATAAATTCTTCTTGGTTACTGCAAAGCATTTATTTGTACATATTTATTCACCGGGAAATGTAATTCAGCTTTCATCAACCATTGGAAAAATATGTAATTCTATCACATAATTTTCTTCCAGTTATTCATGTGTAATAACAAAGAAAAATTAAAAAACTCATAATACTACTTATTCTAGGACATCACGCAAACTTCAAAGAAGAAAAGGTTACCTACCAGCTCAACTCGTCCAAACCCTCCGACTCCAAGGGTGTCAATGATGTTGAAATCAGACAGTTTCAGGTTGGCGAAGAAGGCAGCTTCGGCTTCGTATCTGGATTTTTTTATGCGAAAAAACGGAAATTTCTTAGAGGTGCAAACATGAGTACTGCGCAATACCGTACCCGAATGGCATGAGCGTGGAACAGCCTTTACCTGCTTAATTTCCATCTTATCTCTTACAGTTTGCTTTTATTCACACTCATCGTTTTGCTGGTCCCAATTATAGCATCGCTCCGATGTGCACGGTTTTCCAAGTGAGAAAAGCAAACATGCCTACAATGCAAATGTCTGGTACTGCAATTCAGCTCCAGCTACCCAGCGAACGCTACATTTTGATATTTTCTATTGATCTTCTTGTGGGTGGGGTTTTTTTGGTGTCTTTAAGTATTTTTGGAAGATAAAGTCTCTCATAGAAGTTTCTCTTATCCACAGGCTGGCAGTAGTTTCTATAAATGTTTATTGAAAGTGGCAAGATCATTAAGGTCCCTGGAGAGAAATCACAGCCAGGTTTTATGAAATCAGATCCGATAAGCTGCAGGCTGGTGTGCAAATGCCTGAAATGAATGACTTCAGTCACATATCAACATTGCTGTAAGAATATCTTCACTTCTTTTCCTCCTATAAACTCACTTGGAGTAGACGTCCCAACCCAGGAGGTCCCAAAATCCAGATGCTCTCTCTTAAGCCCATGTCCAACTGGCTCGCAACACAAGTTCACCAAGCCCTTGACTAAGGAAGCATGCAAATTGAACACATGCAAGCCTGCCAAAATAAGCTTCCCATGACTATCCTCATGAATATGATTCCTCTAAAATAGCTCCTTGTCAAGGTTTGTGGTATTTTTAGAAAGGCTCAGAGGGGAAATGGCTGAACAGGATCCACCCACTCAATAAAGTTTGACATTCAGCTGCCAGAGAAGTCCCCGTGCGTGTACAACCTTTGGCCGCTGGTGACACTGACTTGTATGGGAAAAGAGTGTTGACGGGATTATGGAAAGAGGCATGGAGGCTGTAAAGGGGGAGTTGGCTTGGTTTTCAGTACTTAATTTTAGCCATAATATCCTGCAATGAACAGATAGACCATAATCCACTATTTCACCTGGATGCTTCATTTGAGCATGAGAAAGCTAGCGTAAAGATAAAGCATCATAGCGTTAGCCACAATCATATCTACATTTCCACCTCTCTATCTTTTTAACGTACCTTGCCCATCACGCCTGTCTCTAATTCAATAATGGGATGGAATTGATTTACTGACTTACTCCCTTCAAACCACCTTCTTTAGTCTATTTAAAACTGCAATGACATTGGGGGAGAAAGAAAAAAAAAAAATTGAAGTTGAAAGGGAAAACTAAAAAGAGGTCTCAAGAAAGGAGAAAGGTCACATCATCAAGCCCCAAATCCAATGCAATAAAGCGCAATTTCATCTCGGGGCTGCTGTTGACAAATTACTTAATCACTGCTTTATTAATTACACTGTCACCAGATCCTCTCGGTGACATTGCTCCTGTGGCCACAGCAGCCTGATGCATCCGATTTTGGAAAGCAATCAGTACCGAGCCTGCTCTGAACTTGGGATAACCTTGTGTGACACAGCTGCTTATCGATTGCTTTGTACTCATCATGAGGTGCATACTAAACCTGCCACTAAAAACCTCTGCTAAAGGAAAGATGTATTTATATGTTCCCTTCTAAATCACAGCAGACACGTCATTTTAGGGGTGACAGAGCAATGAGATGAGTCTAATTTTCATGATAAACGTATAGACAGCGCATGAATTACCTTTCATGTTCCTGACCGTTACAATATCCTTAATGATTTATAATTGCTAGGGAGATGAAATCCCAGCATGGAAAATTACCCTTCAACAGTCAGACAACGGATGCAAAAATTCAGGTCAAGAAGCCCTGCATTACCTTTGCCCAAGGCTTGGGAGCCTCCCTTCTTGGTGGAAGGAGGCAGGAAAGAAAATGCGGAAGGAAGCCACCTCGTGCTCCCAGGGAGGCAGGGGACCAGCTACCCCGTCTCCCCCCTGGGCAACTAGTGAGGATTTCTCAAAGCTGAGCAAGCAGGTGATGAGAGATGCCAAACAGCAGTGTGTCAGAAGGGTTAGGGTCTCCAAAAACATATGGGAGAGAGAGGGGAAATGTTTTTTCCCCTGTAGTACCTGAAAGACAGCTAAGTCCTACAAAAATGATGTACAGTTCACATCACGTGATGCTGAGAGGACAAAAACTAGGTAAGACATGGCACGGTGCTGGCAAGACAAGCAGGACCGTAGTCCCAGCCCCTGCAAATTCCACCAATTCTCCTGAAAATCCCTCAGTTCGATGGGGGACGGGATCTGCCGCTCCAGTCCCAACTCCTTCATCGTTTTGTGTTTTGAGTCGCAGGAGCCAAAAGCTCTGCTGATGGTTTTCAAAGTAAAAAAAAAGTGTTCATTTATTATTTTGCTTAAAAATGTGCTTGCGAGCACTATTGTGATTGCTTCTTTGAAATCTCTTGGCTAATTCTCTCTGACAGACTGCTTATGTGTAGTTAGTACATACAAGTGCAATGAAGCTTATAAAACAAATTGGATGCAGTTTTCTGCATACTGTGCAACAGGCATCCAAAAAACAAAAGAAATTCCAAAAATATATAGCGAAACCAAAATGCATGTGAAAGCAAGCAAGCAAGCCCTTCACATGCTTACGAACGACAGTCACACCTGAATTCTGTTTTATTCCCAGCTACAAAGGTCAAAGTCCACTTTCAAATCAAAATCCTGTAAACTAACAGGAGTTACGCACTTCAGCCCTGCAAAGCTTAAGAATCTCTTCAGTCACTTAAATAAAAATATTGAAATGCAAATACTCCCAAGCCATCTCCTAAATCAGAAATCAGGGCGTAATCCTCATCCTGAAATTTAGAATATGAATTCAACGTCTGTCCTTCAACTTCCTTAATTTGAGCATGTCGCTCCCTAAACAGAACATCCCAGGGTTTTGGAACATGTGCTCCTCGCTCGACAAAATTATAGTGAAAAACATATGTGATATCTTAATTTTATCACCTCCGAAAGAAAAGGGACCCTTTCAAGGCATTGGGAGGACAGTGCAAAGAAGTACAGAACAAGTTTAAAAATTAATATTGGTGTGTCTGTAGGAACATGTTCGGTTCTGGACCAGGTTGAAGAAATCTGCTACACTTAGATACCGGGGAGGATGCTTGGGATATTCCCTGGGAATATAACAGAGGTGGGATGAATGGTAGAGACAGTTTGGACACACTTGCGCAAGATGACCTGGAAATAACTCAGCACTCTGTGGGAAAAATACATTTGTGCCAGGTCAGGGCGTATTTCTTCTGGGTACCACTTTGCAGATGCCACAGCGTCTTCCCATCTGGTACTTAGCAGTCTAATGAGAAAGGTGGTTATATTCTAAATATGCAGCTGTATGCTGGTGCTCTGAGACTTTTCAAACAAGCAAATGACTTTTTGACCTCTGGAAGAGTTAGTGATTTAAGTTCCTAAATTAATAGATAAGAGGTGTACTGGGAAGATATCTCGGGCAAGCTTGGAGGCATGAATGCTGATGAGCAGCACACCCCCGTTCAGTGACATTCTGGAGCTACGCAGATGCAAGGCTCAAACTTTCTATTCTGAGATTTCTGGGGTTTTCTGACTCTAGTTGACTTAGACATAACTAAGAAAGAGCCCTTCTCCGCTCCAGCTATTCTGCTGATTGTGCATCTTGCCCCAGCCATCACAGGCCAAAACGCCTGGAAAATCACAGCTGGAAGCGCACAAAAAGACAAGATACAGAGAACGTGTCATCCAAATAGGGAGAAACAACAAAAAGTCTGTTCTTTAATAAAGAACTTTTAGAATTAAGGCTGAGATTTTCACAAGAGCTTGTGGGAGGCCAGGTATCAACTCCCAATGCACTCTTAATGGGACTTTTTTTGCTTATTGAAACCAGGTTTTGTCACCTACCCTACCAAACCAACCCTGCCAGAGCTTATGGTCCACTCCTGTAGCTAAGAGGAGCGATACCTTCTCTGTAGGGGATGTCTGAAAACATTATGGAGGAGGAAACGCTCAGATCTAGGTCAAACACGAGCATGTTGTGGAATCTCCCAAGCTCTTCTCCAAGGTTTCTTGCAAATCTCTGAATGACAGAGGTACCTGTACCTACTGAAATCTCACTCAATCGACTGGCTTTCTGTAATGATCTTGCCCTAACGAGTATCAGTGCCCTCCTGTGGAAGAACTGGGGCTTGGGTCCACCATTTCTTTCTCTCATTCCAAATAAAATACATACTCTTAAGGATTCGCTAATTAAAATGCCTTGATTCAGCCTCCTGTTCAGCACGGAGAGGCATCACATGCAAGAAACCAGAGTAATCGGGGGGATCAGGAGTAAATACCATCGTCCACATGTCCCATTACTTTGAAACAGCAGCGCAGGAGCCACAGCCCAAGCATTTGGGCAATGCCTGTTATGCACAATGGGAGAGGAAAATGTGGCTTCTTGCACTGCTGGAGGTTTCCAACCATTTAAAAGAGTGATTGCCTCCTAGGACAACAATTACTCCAAAACACATTTCAAGCTTTCCCCCGCAAAACTACAAATACAAAAAAAAAAAAAAAAAGAGAATCACCTTACCAAGGCAGCTAAAAAGAATGAGAAAATGCGAGGAGCAAAGGTTTGCAATTACCCAACTGCTCAGCTTTACTAAACTAGCTCACGATTCCTATCACATGAGCTAAATGTGTTGGGAAACATTAGACATCTGTTACCAAACTGTCATCTTGATAGAAAACTTGGCTTCTTTCCACCTGTGCGCTGCCAACTGGATGTAAATTGCAACCAAATGGGAACCAACCACCTACTCCGTGATAAGAGCGAACGTAACCATTTTGGGTGGACAAAACCAGAATTTTGGAGCCTTCCTCAGTGACAAACACCTGCTTGTTTATCATCTATTTTGTCGTCCTTATATTCAGTTTTGTTGGCTGGTCCGGTCACTATATTACCCATCGTAGAGGCAATGCACTTCTGCAGA